TACAGTAACACAAATAGCCATAGAGTAATAAAAGTGTGGCAGTGTAAATGAGAAACTGAATTTTACTTTTGTTTAATTTTAATTGACTTGAATAGCCACACTTGGCTGGTGACTGCCATATTGGCTAACTGAGTTTTAATGTTTTCATGAGTTTACCCACTCTAGTAAAGAGATGTACCATGGTATTTTTTTATGTCTAGATGTATCAATACCTATAAGTAACCTTAACAAACAATGTAAAATGTAATTGGAATTGCTCTGGTTATCTAATTGCATGTGTGATATGAAACATAAAAATCAAAAGTTAAAAAATTAAAATATTTGAAATATATTTTATGAACCTCATGATCAAAGATATATGTAATCCTCTGATTTATAATGCAAATACTTGCCACCAGGTAGCTATAACCTGTGTCTTAAGATATTGAATACTGTCAATATACTGATCCTACACAGTATGAAAAAGAGATTAACCCCTTACGTTTGGTAGTAAGACCACCTAGATTTGAATCCCATTTCTGCTACATGCTTGCCATGTAAGTGGCTAATTACTTAACTTGTTTGGTGCATCAGTATATTAAACCACAAAATGGGGATAAAGATTCAAATATGATTGGTTTGTAGATTAAATAAGTTGAATGAGCTCTTAGAAAGTAACTGACACATACTGAGCACTCAGATAAATATGATTATTATTATTTTCAGCTGATGGTACAGGGAATATTAACTAAGAATGTGAATAGGTAGAGGAAGATTTATTTACTGGATACTTTTGGCAAGTCTGTTGAAGTTTTGTTTATAACAATAAATTTTCTTCCTAATCAGAAGCCAAATAAACAAAGGGAACAGCTTCAGAAAGGACTGGTGCAACAGACTAAAATCCGTGAAGGTAACACCGACTACACCAGATATCGACAATTTTCTTCCTAGTGAGGATTATGATCATTATGAGCTTTTCATTTTGAAGGAAGTGCGATTTAAGTCTTAATTTGTTGTCTTCTATCATCTCAAATGGTTTTCTGTGTTCTACCAGGCAGTGCTGGGAATGTAGGGAGAAATCACTGAATGGTTTGCTCAGAAGATGGGATAGTGCGTATGTAGAGAAAAAAATGAAAGTAATCATTTATGACCATTTATGTATCCTTCTCCTTAGTTGTTTATATGATCTTGTTCACATTTTATTTTAACCCAGAGAGAAAAACAATGTTTTCTTAACAAGAGAGTCAAAGTGATCATAGTAAATGTTCATGAATCTTGGATATTTTCGTTAATGTTTAGAGTTTACTGGTATGACATTCCACAATTGTTAATTTGCCAGTTAATACACTGATTCACAAACACAATGGTCAATAGTGAATAGCACTGTTTGCTATCTTATTAATACATTATTTCCATACTTAATCTTAAATACCAAAGTAAGTACTCAAGATTTAGAGTAGTATTATCTTCTATCTATTGTCAAGGCCTTGGACAACAGACATATAGCAGGACTCTATGCTATTTCAGCAGGAGCTTAGTAACTCAATGCTAGCTTCATGGCAACAGTTTTGAACACAATTCAGGAACACTGAGTAAATATTCTTTGAGAATGTCTTTAAAAACTATAGATAGGATAATAATGAGTTAAAGAAGTCTCTGAGAAGCCAGAAACCACTAGAGAAGTGAGATAGCCTAGTTTTAAATTTTTTAATTAGAAAAAAATTTTAAAAAGCTCATGCCTTTGTTTATAATGCCATTTGTTAGCGTGAGTTCTGAGGAAAACCTTACTCTGTCTCAAGTACATATTTGGAGTTTGTGTTGAAGTTTCCAAAGACAGAGTTTAACCACAGCAAGAGATTGCATCTTGCTGTCTTACTTGCATTCATTAGAATGCAATCCTTAAAACGGTGGTAAGGGGGGATGTTTCACTGAGATCTTCTCAGTTGCCTGTGATTTCATGTCCCTACAAACATAATCTGTACCTTTCTGGTAAAAGGAAAATGAAAAAAGATAGATGACTCTTAGTCAATCCATGTAACTTCTGGATGAAGATCTGTGAAATAATGAGACCTGGATTTCCCAGAATTGGCCTTACCACTCCCGCCTCCCCTCCACCCAGACTGAACCTATGCACCACTTAATGTAGTTGTTGTCATAGTGATGATTCTTGTTTGTTAAATAAATGAAGTAAATAGTTACAGAGAAGCTACACAATGTAAACTGCACATGTACAAATAAGTTATTTCCTTTCAAATGCCAAATGTCCAGTCTCTTCTTCTCTTGCTTTTGAGCTCTCTCTAATTATACATGTTCATGCAGTTTTCCCTAAGTATTTTACTCAATAAACATTCAGGCTGTCTACTGAGTGAAAAACATGTAACATATGGATAAGAAAGAAAAAAGAGAAGTAATGATGGTGGTAGTGGTCCTTGGTGTAATGGCCACAGAATGATGTTCTTGAAGTCAATACATTTTTCAACAGAACATGTGATAGTAAAGTCTCATTCAATAGATTCATATCATATCCTAGAGGACAAAGTTGTAGAAAATTAGGTATATTGGGAATCCAAAATTGAAAAGTTGGTTAAAAATTAAATTGGTGATTTTACACCAACTGCTGTGAGCCTTCTATGATAAGAGTGATTAAATACTTGAAACAGCATTTTTAAAATAATTTTAAATTATTTTTAAATAATTTTTTTTAATAATTTTCTAAATGGATTACACCCTTTCAGTTTCCTCACTGACACTACTGTGAAGTGAAAGTGAAAGTAGCTCAGTCATGTCCAACTCTTTGCCACCCCATGGACAATACAGCCCATGGAATTCTCCAGGCCAGAATACTGGAGTAAGTAGCTGTTCCCTTCTCCAGGGGATCTTTCCAACCCAGGGATCGAAATGAGGTCTCCTACATTGCAGGTTGACTCTTTACCAGCTGAGCCACAAGGGAAGTTCAAGAATACTTTGAAGTGGGTAGCCTATCCCTTTTCCAGTGGATCTTCCCGACCCAGGAATCAAACTGGGGTCTCCTGCATTGCAGATGGATTCTTTACCAGCTGAGCTACCAGGGATTAGCCACAATTCTTACCCAGGTTACAGCAGTTTCCTAAATTGCTTCCCTGACCACAGTTAGGCCACCTCCATTGAGTCAGCCCATTATACAAAGCTTGCTTTTTCTACATTGCTAATCTGATGAGGTTGTTTCCCTCATCAAGATTCTTAGTGGTTCTCAACCATCTTAAAGTCTACATACTCTAGCATGGCTTACATAGTTTAACATTGTTACTTGTGACTGCTGTATTTCATCACAACTGAAGTCTGAAAAAGAGTCTTTTGACCTGATGTCAAGACAAAAGTCAAGGATCATCTTCCATTCTGAAATGAAACCTTCCCTAAAGCACTTTTTATAACTGTCCAAATACTATTTAAGCCACACCCTTACAGTTCATAGATTTCAATCTCAGCACCTACAACATCTTATGTCATCCAAATTCTTGTTTTTATGTCTGTCCCTTCCAAGAATGAGATGTCCTTTGGCCAAGGATCTCAAATTATTGTCTTTTATTTTAGCACACAGTAAGCATAGTAAATGTTTATGAAATGAGTGTGTGAATAAGTGAATAAATGAAAAAATAAATGGGACAGATCCTTTGGGTTAATATTTCAGTACCTACAGTGGACCATAGCTACAGAAAGTAGCACTGACAATCATGGACTACAGTATGAATGCAAGCAAGGTCAGAGAAACTGTTGTTTAAAGGTGTCTGTAATATCAGTATCGACTCAAAAAAGTATAATAAATAGAAATTTTGAACTGACAATAGTCTATAGAAAAGAATATAACAATATCTTTTAAAAGCACAGATTAAGACAGATGAGGATTTAAACATATCTTCACTACTTAAAAGCTTCATTGTGAAAAGTGAAAGTTGCTCAGTGGTGTCCAACTCTTTGCAACCCCATGGACTAGTACATGGAATTCTCCAGGACAGAATACTGGAGCGGGTAGCTGTTCCCTTCTGTAGAGGATCTTCTTAACCCAGGAATTGAACCCAGGACTCCCACACTGCAGGTGAATTTTCACCATGTGAGCTACCAAGAAAGCCAAGAATACTGGAGTGGGTAGCCAAGCTTCATTAGGCCCATTCTTTTACTCACGTTAGCTTATTTTTGTGTCCATGCTATTAAATAAAGTCAGGGGGATCCCCAGAGCTTTATAAATAAGGGCCATAGTACTCATACATATTCAAGTAAAACCAATGAAAAAGTTTTGATTCTAAGCCATAGTTAACCCTGAGATAGGTAAACAGAATCTCTCATCACAGAGCCACTTACTTAAACATTTCCATTTGAAATAATATGTTTGGGGCAGTTATCTATAAAACAGTATTAAATGTTTTCAAAGGCAAGAAAATATTTTTGTGAGTGAACACATTTATATTCCAAATTATTGTATTCATTGGTACCTCCCTCTGGGATTTGCATACATGTGGATACTGGGGAATTTGTCAAGTTTCTTAACAACCATGGCTTGATATTTGAAGATTTTAATGTTCTAGTCCACCATTCTTTAAAGAGAGGTTATATGGGATACCACACTCAAAAAATCAGTTCTAGTCATTGGTACTGGGAGGGAACAGGAGAAAAATACAAAGGGCTCTTAAACATATCTGGCTGTCATAATATCTTCCTTGGGACTTATTGATCTGAGAGCAGTTGTTGGCAGTTTTTAGCCAAAGCAACAAACTCAAGACCTTTTACCAAGGTTTTGCCAAGCTCTGTGATTCAATGGCACCCAAAATAAGGCAATCACATTACTTTATAAAAAGTAACTTTTTACTTCATAAGAGCCCTGTTCTCCTTCAGAAGGAAGACACATTTAGTCATTAATGTCAAATGGGAGAACTGAGAGATGGATTTATATTTCCATATTAATTACTTGGAAATAATTGATTATTTTATGGTCATATCCATAAAGAATCATAAAATCAGAATGAACTCAAGTAGAGAAATAAACAAACCTCTCAAAATGCCTTTTGCAACAATGGGCAGAGATGTCAGTCTTCTCAGCCATTTAATATCCTCCCAGCTGATGGATGGGTCTATTGCTTTAGCCACATATGCAGCAAGTCCACTTTTGTCTCCAAAATTTTCCTTAGGAGAAAATGCTAAATCACTGGTTTCAAAATTTTTCATTCTGAAATAAAGAGAAGGAAGGTCTTGATGATTGGAAAACTCATATCCTGATCAGGATATGGGATATGGGATATGGGATAAAATGGGAAATTTCCCAAATTAGAAGTATCTTTACAATGATTCATTCAATGAAAAAAAAGAAGGGTACCCTTTTCAAATCAATTGACTGTTCACTCTCCAGGTTGATCACATTTACGTTTTCATGTTTTGATGAAGGAGTCCAGGCTAAATTTGACAACTTAGTAGACTTAATTGGTCACTTAAAGTTTATTTTACATCTTATAATGTAAGATTTTTATATAAATTTATATAACTTTTTATATAAATAAGTCAGATTAAAGGATAAAACTTTGGCCAAGTTCAAATATCTCTAGCTTTTTAAGCCAGTCTGTGATATAAACAATCAATTTGATGCTATTTTCAAATGCAATGCATACTAATCATAAGACGAACATTTGCATGGTGCATCACAATTTACAATAGGCATTCATGTACCCACAATATTTAAAAAACTTTTGGAAAATAAAATTCACACTCTATAATTCCTATTTTACGCAGAAAATAAAACCAGAATTGTAGAACAAGATGCCCCCATGTATTAACTAAGGCAGCATTTGGGTTTCAAACTGATCTCTACTCTTTTTGTTTTTAAGAATTTTTTTTCTGTGTGGATCATTTTAAAGTCTTTCTATTTCATGCTTTGGTTTCTTGGCTGTGAGGCATGTGGGATCTTAGCTCCCCAACTAAGGATCGAACATGTACCCCCTGCATTGGAAGTGACATCTTAACCACTGGACCACCAGGAAAGTCTCAGTGTCTCTGACTCCTAATTGCATTCTCTTCACTCAGATCTCAACTGCACTCTGTCAATTACTTCAGACTTCAGAAATCTTTCAAAGTCCTTTTGGAAAATTCTAGAGGAGATTGGAAATGCAGTATTAACAGCTTCTGTCTGTGGTCCCTGTAAACTCTTTTCCTTGTGTTGTTGCTACCACGGTGGTAGTGGTGGTACTGCTGCTGGCGGGCATAGGGAGAAGTGGAAAGTGGTTCCCAGAAGATGAGCTGTCAGCTCTTGTGTTTTTCCTCCTCTGTTTACTTGCTTCTTCTGTCTTCTGACTCAGAACCCCCAATCTTCTAGACAATCCTGATCAGGATATGAGTTTTCCAATCATCAAGACCTTCCTTACTTTGCCTGAGGTGTGATGGTTAGTTTTGTCAGCTTGACTGGGCTAAGGGATGCTTAGATAGCTGGTAAAACATTACTTCTGGGTATGTCCATAAGGATGTTTCTAGGTGAGATTAGCATTTATATCAGTAGATTGAGAAGAGATTGGGCAGGCATCTTCTAATCTGTGGAGGTCCCAAATAGGACAAAAAGGTGGAAGAAGAATAAGTTCATTGTCTCTGTTTGAGCAGGGTCATCATTGTCTCCTACCATTCACAATGGAGCTATTGGTTGTCAAACCTTCAGGTTTTGACCAGGACTTACACTATGGGATCCGAGTTTGGGGCCCCTTCAGACTCAGACTGGGACTTATACCATTAGCTCCCCCCATTCTTAGGCCTTCAGGTTTGGGTTGAAACTACTCTGGCTTTCCTGGACCTACTCCTACAACCTGGGCCTCCAGCTTGTAGATAATAGATTGTGGGATTTCTCAGCCTCCTTAATTGTGTGAGCAAATCCCTTGTAGTAAGTATCTCTAAGATATAGATACAGATATTTAGATATGGATATGCTATTTGTTCTGTTTCTCTAGAGAACCTGACTAATACATATGACTTTTTCTTGCTCCTGGGGCCTGAGTCACGCTCAACACAGCAGACTCAGCTTGTCAAGAATGTTGGTGTACACATACCCCAGCTCCTTCACCCTTGGGCAGATTAACCCTAAGATAGATTCTACAAGATCTCCCAGAGTTTCCCAGCAGGATTAAGCTTCAGTTGCCCATAGCTGTGACTGTCTTTGTAACATGCCAATTGTTGACCACCTCCCCTCCCTTATACCTCTTCCCCACTCCTCTACCAATATTCCTACCATCTTCTAAAGGAACTACTTTTACTTAAATCAGTGGTTCACACTCTTCTCCTAAAGAAACACAAACGGAGACACAACCCCACTGAGTTGCTCCCTTCTCCTATGTCTAATTTTGTTAACTCATCTTATAACAGTATTTCTCTAACTCATCTAGAAGACACTGCAGCTGGCTTACTCTACACCTGAGGTCTTTTCTCTTAGTCTAATATCCCAATATCTCGACTAGATTTTGGAAGTTCTCCAAGCTAGGGGCAAAGTCTTCTCTACCTGTACCTCTGACCACTGATAGGATGGATGGCCTTCTGAATATACACTGGCACCACCCATGTGACTTAGATGCCTGGAATCAGCTTAGCAGGCCCAAAGCGAACTGCCAACTTCATTTCTCTAAAGGCTGATTTTGAATGATGACAGTGATCTAGACTCACCTTGCTCTTCTGCACATTATGAATTACTCTGCTAGCCAGTCTCTTCTTTGTGTAAAAGTGAAAGCTACATATGGATCTCTGGCTTAGTCATCAGTCTTTATTCCTTTCCACTGGCTCTGACATTGAACATAGAAAGTATCTTGGAGCCAAGGCTATAACAGTTTTTATGCAGAGGTTTCAAATTTTTACAAAACTAGAGCTTCCCTGGTAGCTCAGTGGTAAAGAATCTGCCTGCCAACGTAGGAAACACAGGAGACTTGGGTTCAATCCCTGAGTCAAGAAGATCCCCTGGAGGAGGAAATGGCAACCTACTCTTGTATTCTTGCCTGGAAAATTCCATGGACAGAGGAGCCTCGTGGGTTATAGTCCATGGGATCGCAAAGAGTCGGACATGACTGAGCAACTGAGTGCTGAGGTTTAATGCCTTTAACGTGCTTATAAATAGCTGATTGTGTAGCTTAGGCAGCATCTATTATCATAAGGCCATGGACATTCACATCCCATGTAACTGTCTTCAACCACTAGCAAATTTTTCTCAATAAGGATTGACTGTGACTCAGGTAGCCACTAAAGGCCACAGAAAATCACAAATCCATGAAAGTCATATTTGTATCCATTATTTGCTGAGGTTTGGTTTAGATTATAGCTGAAATACTCTAAGCTTCTTTTTCAATCAAACCACTTAATGTTGTACATTTTATCACAGATTTTGGCCTTCTGTGGTCATCCTAACTTGAATTAACCTAACCTAGTCAACAAACATACCCTTATTATTGGAGGCCTATTCCATTACTTAAAAATGATATTAAATAATAGTAAATGTCAAGCTTTTAAATAATATTGTTAATAAGAAAAAGGTCCTGTCTGTCCACGCCATAGCAAAACCAGAGGGGAAAAAAGAATAATATCTGTACGTGTATATTCTCTGCATAGCACCCCACCCCCATCCCAAACAAGCTACACTGTTTCAGCAGGGGTGGGGTGAAAGGGTGAAAGGGATAGGAAAAAACAGAAACATGGATAAAATTATATAAATAACTGTTGTTATTCTTGGATGGCTAAATGCAGATCAACACTTGAATGAATGTTGCCTTACAGAAATTTCAGGGTACAATGAAGCCTTGTTGTTACTCTTAAACGTTGTTCAAAGCCAGAAGCCAAGGAAAAGTTTTCAGATATCTTGACAGAGACCCACGATGGAGTGTTTTAACCATGGCTCCAAAGGAAACCTCCATGAATGCTATTTTTATTAGAATTATGACATATACACAAAAAACACTTAAAGCAGCTTCTGATAACCAAAGTATTTCATTTCTTAAGGAAGGAAAAGGGCAACATCAAAATAATAACAAGATTACTTGGGACTTAATTCTCTGAATCCCAATCTGTTTAACAACCCACAGGCAAGGGATAGGATTTCTTTTTTGTAAAGGATTCATTGTGCCTTGAAAGGCTCCTAAATATACTTTTTAATCTAATATAAAAGCGATTTTAGATTTTAGTAAGTTAGCATCATAAAAATGTAACAACTACCAAGGAAAGTTAACATTATTAAATAACCAATAGTAATGTCAGTAATGATGACTATTATTGAGATATCATATGACATTAAAGATAATGTCATATGTCTCCAATGTGGGAAACACATTACAAAATAACAACCAGTAGAACACTTAATATCAGTATAACATGAGAGACATTCAAACTACATAATAGATATTGGTACATGGAACAGCAACCTTTAATATTGTGATTAGGAAAACATTTCTATTTATTGCATAGCCCTGCTAACTTTTTCATCCATGTGGCTGGGTATTTGGAAGAAAGGTTCAGGGCAAGAATTTTAAGTACGAGCTCAAACCCTTATTCAAGTTCTTATTAGTATTGTTTTATTGGGTAAATCTATTATGATTTAGTACATTTTTATTCAACATTACTGAGCACCTACTATGTGCCAGTGTTTTAGTAAAATGATCAAAAATACTGGCTATCTAGGTTGACATTCAGAAAATAAACAAGAAACACAATCAATAGGTAATTTATGGAGCCTGTTAGAACATGCTGCAGCTGCTGCTGCTGCTGCTCAGTCGTTTAAGTCGTGTCTGATTCTGTGCAACCCCATAGACGGCAGCCCACCAGGCTCCTCCGTCCCTGGGATTCTCCAGGCAAGAACACTAGAGTGGGTTGCCATTGCCTTCTCCACTGTTAGAACATAAGTACTATGCAAAATAAAGGAAAAAACAGAGCAGAATAAGAGGGATGTGAGCTGGTAGAGGTTTTACTTGAAAGTTTAAATATGGTAATTGGATGTGGCCCCAATGAGAAGCTATCTTGTAAAGGAAACTGGCAGAGCTGTGTCATTGTATCTGTTCCCTGTTGATGCTATAACAAGCACAACCCTAGAGGCTTTAAAGTGACACAAATTTATTATATTATAGTTCTAGAAGTTCAAACTGCCTCATTGGACTAAACTCAAGGGGTCAATAGGGCTATTTCCCTTCCAGAGGCTTAGGCGAGAATCTCTTTCCTTGACTTTTCCAGCTTCTAGAAACCATCTATATTTCCCTGTTTGCAGATGCTATCACTCCAACTTCTGCTTCTCTCATCACATCTCTTTCTCTGACTCTGACCGGCCTGCATGCCTCTTATAAGGAGCCCTTTCATTACATTAAGCCTCCTGTCATAATCTAGGATAATCATCTCATCTCAAGGTCCTTAACTTAATCACACCTTCAAAGTTCATTTTGCCATGCAAAAAGTAACATATTCACAGGTTCCAAGGTTCAGAACATAGGCATCTTTGGAAGGTTATTATCCTGCTTAATATTATGTGACTTAACATTGTAACTGTTTTCCTAACCAAATGATTTAGAGGCTATCTGCCACGGAACAACAGACTGGTTCCAAATAGCAAAAGGAGTACGTCAAGGCTGTATATTGTCACCCTGCTTATTTAACTTATATGCAGAGTACATCATGAGAAACACTGGGCTGGAGGAAGCACAAGCTGGAATCAAGGTTACCAGGAGAAATATCAATAATCTCAGATATGCAAATGACACCACCCTTATGGCAGAAAGTGAAGATGAACTAAAAAGCCTCTTGATGAAAGTGAAAGAGGAGAGTGAAAAAGTTGGCTTAAAGCTCAATATTCAGAAAACTAAGATCATGGCATCCGATCCCATCACTTCATAGCAAATAGATGGGGAAACAGTGGAAACAGTGGCTGAATTTATTTTGGGGGGCTCCAAAATCACTGCAGATGGTGATTGCAGCCATGAAATTAAAAGACACTTACTCCTTGGAAGGAAAGTTATGACCAACCTAGAGAGCATATTAAAAAGCAGAGACATTACTTTGCCAACAAAGGTATGTCCAGTCAAGGCTATGGTTTTTCCAGTGGTCATGTATGGATGTGAGAGTTGGACTGTGAAGAAAGCTGAGTGCTGAAGAATTGATGCTTTTGAACTGTGGTGTTGGAGAAGACTCTTGAGAGTCCCTTGGACTGCAAGGAGATTCAACCAGTCCAATCAGTCCTGGGTGTTCATTGGAAGGACTCATGCTGAAGCTGAAACTGCAGTACTTTGGCCACCTCATGCAAAGAGTTGACTCATTGGAAAAGACCCTGATGCTGGGAGGGACTGGGGTCAGGAGGAGAAGGGGATGACAGAGAATGAGATGGCTGGATGGCATCACCGACTCGATGGACATGTGTCTGAGTAAACTCTGGGTGTTGGTGATGGACAGGGAGGCCTGGCATGCTGTGATTCATGGGGTTGCAAAAAGTCAGACACGACTGAGCAACTGAACTGAACTGAATTGATCTGCCATGTGCAAAGTCCTCCTTCACAAATCGTTTTCTCTCTTTTAGACCCACAACCCAAGATCCCCAACCCAAGATCCCCACACTTATTGTATCTCTATTCTGGTCTCTACCATTCATCTTTATTTTGGTTTCCCAATATAAAGACATGTAGCTTCATCCCTGATGTCAAAATGTAAAGGAAGTGAAGTTAGTTTGCACTGATTTGGGGAAAGAATGTTACAGGCAGAGGGAAGAGTCAGTTCTGAGGCTCTAAGGCACAGGTGTGACTGGCACCCTGAAAGAACAGGAGGAAGCAGGAGATGTTGGGAAGAGTGAATGAAGATGAGAATGCTGGCAATGAGGTTAGAAAAGGGGATGCCTCATCCACCACTTTTATCCCCAGAAACCTGGGAAGACAGCGCAGTCTCACCTCTCTTGTGTGCTGTTCTCTGGCTGTTGTGATGAATACTTCATTTCAGGGCCTAAGGAAGCACGTCCCAGGGCAAATCATCAAAAGGGTAGGTGTCATGATTTACCTTGACCTTAGTCAATGATTGGAAATTTCTTTTAATTGCCTTAGCCCTGCCCCAAAGAGCCAAATTTTAACCCAGGGTAAACAAACCACCCCCCGCGTGGTGTGGAGATGGACTCGGGTCCCTGACTCAGCGCCCCAGGAGCCAATCTGGTGAACTGACTTCAATCCTCGCCTCTTCTGGGAGCGGATGAGAATTCGCCTTACTCCCCCTCAGTCTCAGGGACCTCCGCGCTGCTCATCATGCGCACATCCGTGTGTTTTGCATACGGACCAGGCAGAGATTACCAAACTCCTGAACTCTGGCTGTCCCAGAAGCCGAGAGTCAGGACCCGCCCCCTTCTCTCCAGGCAGAGGAAGCCACAAGGGCTGGAAGGAGCCGCTGCTTTACAGACTCATTCTCCTCTGGATTTCCTGCCTCTCTCGCCTGCCAAACCTCATTCTGAACAGCCCGGCTTCACCTTCTCTGAGTCAGGTCAATTGCAGAAAGAAACCTGATTTCATATCAGGCTGTAACAGATGAGCTTTGGGGCAGCACGTGCCCTCCAGCGGAAGCCAGGGCCTCCCATCGGGCGCTCTGCCTTCACTGCTGAATGTGGGCCCCAGGGCGCTGCACACCCCCCTCCCCGAAGCCCGCAGGGACAAGCAGCGTCAGTGTGCGCTCTGACGGCCAGGGCGCCGGCAAGGGGTTTCCTGTGTTCCCCGTAGCCTAGATGTGTGGCTCATTATTTGATCATCTTCAGAAGGAAGATGTGACAAGCTGGGGAGCCGTGGCCACTCCTCTGCACATGGACAGCTGAAAAGGGCCTTTGTCTCCTGGTCCCTCACGTCATCTGGGCAGGAGCCCGAGAGGAAAGAGGGGGGCGGGAAAGAACAGCAGCCTTCCCGCTCCTGGCTGAGTGGCCCTGGCACCCAAGGAGTGAGAGGTATGGGCCAGAATTAACACGGGTGTCGTCCCCCATCTAAGTAGATACCACGTGAAACCTGTTTTGTTCTTCAGAGCCAGAAACTGCTTCCGAAGCTTAAAGAACAAACCCACTGTATTATTTATTGTTGTTGTCGCTAGTAGTAGAAATAGTAGTAGAACAGAAGAAGGAAAATAGCAAATTCCTATTCAAATGGTCAAAGGGAAACAATGAGGAACATTTCCTGTCAGAAGCCTAAATACTGGGGAACGACATTTTAGAAAGTCTAAAATCTAAGGTAATCAAAAGAGAGAAATAATGTGAATTCATATCAAGAATTAATATAGATGAATAGGATTTCATATTAAGGACATTTGAAACCATCTACTTTGATGAATTTGGCAAGAAGTAGAAATATGTCAAGAATTTTTGTTTTTGTTCTCTTAGAAAGACAGGGTGTTTGGGTAACTCCATGTCTGGGATGTGTGGAGCAGGGTGATTGATGGCTGTTGGGGGAACACTTCCTCATTCTGCCATTGGGCCACTGAGGATATTATATACAGAAATAAATCTTAAACCTACCTGGAACTATCACAGAGATAACATCACACAGCTCATTTATATATGGTTTATCAGCAAGATTTTATGCACAATAGCTTATACTTAAGTAGGTATACACACAGAAGAGCTATATGACAGTTATGTGACACAGAAGACTATGAACTTACATGATGGTTTGAAGATATTCCATTCTCTAATTCACTTGGAATCCTGGCTCTCAACAGTCTTCTTGTCCTTATGTGGAATGCTGATTTGATTTTCAATCTTTTAGATTTTGGATCTTTTAGAAGGATTAACTTTATATGCAGACAGAATAAGCAATAGTCCAGTGAAGTGAGGTCTAGGATTCTAAAAAAGTCATCCCTCATTCCTTGTACTCTGGTGGACATTTTGAAATCCCATCATCAAAATGTCCTCCATTAAAACTAAGATTTTTCTTCTGCTCAAATAGTTTTAGCCCTGAAGTCTATCGATCAAACACTGGTATGAAAAACAAAAGGGCAGGAACCTTGGTAGTAACCAAGGGAAGGTAAAATCAAAGGGGAGGAGAGATTTGTAGCTCTGTCTTGTTCAGTAAACTCCACTGAGTTTCTAGTTTTGACTCAAGATGATTCTAATCTTTTACAGGGAAAAGGGCTATAATTCCCTGTTGATGGATCAGCTGAATGGCCTGATAAAACCATCACAGTTCAGCCTTAGATTCCTAGATATGTACATTATTTTTGCTGAGATGAATGAGTGAGTGAATGGATGAAATAATGAATTAACCAGTAAATAAACTAGTGAATCTTGAACCATGGGTGAACCACAACAAAAGAGATATATTATTGAAAGAAGTAGGAGATGAGGCAGCAAATATGTGACTTCTTTTGTCTCCATTCTTTTAGTTTTCTTCAATCTTCCCTGCCAGAGTTGTTCCAAATACAATTAAAAATAAAATTAAAAGGGTGCTTTTTTATTTCAACAGGCAAAGAGATGTGGTATTAGGATCACAAAGCAAGCTGTTGCTTAAGTTAAATTAAGTATCTTCTATCTATATGGCAAAATCCTACTCAAAGCCCTTAATACACTCTGAGATGTAGATTTTTTTACTTTTACAAGTATATGGCAAATCCTGTCTCTGTTGTTATAGCTCAAGTATGAGACACTCACATAAGGTGTTGATTTGCTGAGGATTATATGGATATTTGACAATGACACCATCTCTAGAACCCAGACCTTATCATTCCTAGACACAATCTCATACAGCCATACTTTGGAACCAACATTTTGGGATTCCCCCGAGCACCCAAGTGGAAACTGGAGAAAGAAAGTCTTTGGAACTGGATCATGACAAGAGCAAACAGAAATAGAAAATAAGTTCAGGGGCCCAGTGATCAAAAAGCCATGGTTACCTGAGATGGGGTGGCATCTTGAACCTGTTACGCACATCATCAAAGCGGTTGCCCAGGTAAGGGGTGTCCACCGTCACAAATATGGCCTTGTAGCCCATTCGCTCAGCCCTCCGCACAAGCTGCTTGGTGACCTCACGGTCCTTATAGATGTACAGCTGCAACCAGCGAATTGCCTCAGGACCAGCTTCTGCCACTTCTTCAATTGAGGAGGTGGCCCAGGAACTCAGCATCATGCCAGTTCCCAGTGACCTGCAGGCTGAGGAAGGAAAGAGAAGATCAAGACCAGCTTGGCATTTTCCCTACTCCAGTCTTCAAGCTGTGGTTCATGGGATAAAGACAGCTACAAAGGCAATTTAGAAATAAAAAGTTGCAAAGTTAGAAACATGCTTTTCTTTCCACCCTCTGTGAACAGATATGAAGGCAAAATTGACCCAAATGGTCAAAGATGTGCTATATGTAAGGATGAAAAAATTAGAAGGAACTTGAATCTCCAGTCTTAAGGAAATAGATAAATGATAGTTCATAAATAAAATGAAATATACACACCCATGAAAAGTAATTTTTGTAATAATTTTATGTGTCAGCTTGGCTAGGCAATGGTTCCCAGATATTTGCTCAAACATGTCCAAATGTTGCTGTGAAGATTTTTATTTTGTTAAGAGGTTAGCATTTAAATCAGTAGACTTTACATAAAGCAGATTACTCTCCATAATGTAAATGGGTCTCATCCACTCAGTTGAAGGCCTTGGGAAAAAGACTGACCTTTCTGGTGGAAGAGGAAATTCGTCAGCAGACCGCCTTCACATTCAAATACCAACTCAGTTTTCCTGGGGTCTCCAGTGTACCAGCTGTAGATTTTGGACTTACCAGTTTATACATTTGTATGAGCCGATTCCTTAAATCTCTCTCTCTCTCCATTTCTCTATTTCTTTGTTTCTCTCTTGTCTCTCTGTCTCAGTCTCTCTCTCACTCCTCCCTCCTCCTCTTTCAGTTACAAGGAATGACATTTGCAGACTCAGAAAGTTTATCAAGGCATATTAAGAAACCAGAGAATTCCCTGGTGGTTCAGGACTCTACCCTCCCGCTGCAGAAGCCTGGTTTCAGTTCCTGATCAGGGACCTAAGTTCCATACAGCATGACCTCCCCTTACTCTCCCCCACCCAAACAAATAGGAGAAGAAAGAAAAAAATCTCCAAAATAACATGTATACCATGATTTGTACAAATGTGATTATTGGTGTATGAACCTAAACGAACTAACTGTTAATGATAGGTGACGGTGGGAGAGTTTTTCTTTCTTTATAACTTTTTAAATTTTATCTTCTAAAATGTGTTAAAAATGCATTTGCCATTTACATTATCATTTAAAATTTTATACAATTCATATGTTAGACACCTCAAACAAACATCAGTCACCTCACAACCTTTTAAACAAGATATCAAATAATGAGCAAATAAGTGAAAAATTAGAATCATCTAAACTATTGTCTTAGGGAACTTGAAAGAACATGAGTGACAGCCTTTTTTCCAAAAATAGGTAGTAAATTGGGGTCAGCTTTAGTGGAGGACAAACTGATACAATGTCTGTATGCCAAATGCCAAAAGATAAATAGTAAATATATAAAATTGACTATTTAACCCTGGTTCATTTGACTTACCTTTGAGCTGCCATCCATCAAATGTGAGTGAAAGTCATTCAAGTGACACAGGGAGATGATAAGAATCAAGTGACATGCTGTTTACAAAGCTGCTCTGAGAGGTTAAAATGCTTTCATGCTTTACAAACTTTACCAGGCAGACAAATCCCCTGGAGTGTTTGTGAAAACACAAATTGTGAAAAACACCCCAGAGTTTCTGATTCAGTTGGGCAGAGACAGGGCCCAAGAACTTGCCTTTCTAACTGGCTCCCAGGTAGTGCCAATGCTGCCAGTCTCTGGACCACTCTTTGACATTCAAACAGCATCATCATGTAAGCTGGAAGGGTACATCTTTACTCTCAGACTAAGGTGATATTTGAAATAGTTAGCAACCAGTAGAACAAAGATTATGACTAATTACAAGAGATGCACGTGCAGTAAGTGGCAGGCATTAACCACTGGTTTCCAAATTTCCATGCCTTCCCAAGTATATAGAAATTCTGTTCACTTTGTTGTCATGGCCCTAAGGATTGGGAGAGTACATTTGTTCAGCCTAATGGGCATCTGGGAATTCTAGAAAAATCATTGCCTTAGGGGAGTGGTCAGATATGCTGGGTTCTCTGTGTGACCTTACTTAGGCCACATCCTCTTTACTCTAAGTTAACCTGGTAGTAAAGTGGATTTTGTTTTTGATAAATGTTACTTTTCCAATGCCTTCGAAGATGTTTTTCATCCCTGTTCTTCAGGTCACAGGTCAGATAAAGAAGACTTAAACTGAAGATTATACTATCTATGGATCATTAATCTGTTTCCTCCAAGTGTTCCTTTAAGAATTTCTCTCTTAAGGACTCATAATTAGAAAAATATTGTCCAACAAACCACATTTTAAGTAAGCAATTATAAATAATGATATGTATAAATATCTTATTTTCATTAAGACTTGTAAATATGGAAAATAGATACAGGTGATCCACTATTGTTTGGAACAAACACCAGGGATTGCTCAGATCAGAATCCCCTAACCGTCAATTTCCCATAAAGAAACATGTCCTGAAGAGGATGTGGCCTAAGTGAGGTCACACAGAGAACCCAGCATGTCTGACCACTCCCCCAAGGCAATGATTTTTCTGGAATCCCCAGATGCCCAGAAGACTCCCTTGTTATCAATATAAGTAAATGTACTCCCGCAAACCTTAGGGCCTTGACAACCAAGTGAACAGGTTTTCTGTATACTTGGGAAGGCATGGAAATTTGGAAACCAGTGGTTAATGCCTGTCATTTACTGCATGCGCATCTCTTGTAATTGGTCACAATCTTTGTTCTACTGGTTGCTAACTATTTCAAATATCACCTTAGTCTGAGAGTAAGATGCACCCTTCCAGCTCACATTGTTCTGAGGGGGACAAAAAGTACAACGCTTTTAATTTTATAAATGACTGAACATAGATTCTGTTGAAAAATTCTAATTTGAGTTATCCTACTCTAGTGGCAAGAACACAAAAGTTTTTGAAGTCCATTTTCCTTCCCTATTTATTTTCCACAATGAAACTCTCACCTGCTCTCACAAGGAGCAAGTGTCAAATTTCATTTTACAAAGGGCAGGGGTCAACTTTCATGGGCCCCCATTCCTAACATGTAGTGCAGAATGAAGACTCCAAAGCATGTTGCCTTTTCCCAATTCCTGGCAAAATGGTGATGTTACTAAAAGGCAAGACCTGTCTCTTGCCCATGAGAAGGTCCCCAGCATCAACCCAAGTCTGAACATCTTGGCTTTCATGATAGTCAACATGTCCTAGAGAAAGCATACCCAGGAAGCTACAGCATTAAGTAAACATTGATCCCATATGACCCTATTTCGTATTTACACCCACTCTTGTTTTATCATCCCTGAGATAGATCTTCAAGGATAAACCTATAAACTCTTAATGTTCTAGGTATATTCAGACTTTGTTTATATTTGATATCTCATTCTCTTCTTTATTTAGAGGAAAGAGTCATCAAGTCACCACTATTAAAAAATACATGCCTCCCCCCAACACACACACTACTAAAGAGATGCTAGTAAGGTTTTAGATATTGAAACATCAAAAATAAAACCCTATAAATGACCTAAATAATAACATCAATCTCTCCTATCTCTCAAGCAGTGGTAAAGAATCCGCCTGCCGATGCAGGAGATGCAAGTGATGTGGGTTTGATCCCTGGCTCAGGAAGATCCCCTAGAGTAGGAAATGGCAACCCATTTCAGTATTCTTGCCTGGAAAATTCCATGGATAGAGGAGTCTGGCAGGCTACAATCCAAGGTGTCTCAAAGATTCGGACATGACTGAGCGACTGAGCGCGCACACACACACACACACACACACGAGTCAGAGGTCTGGGCTGCACTCTCAGACTTGTCATCTATGAGGCACATTTCAACTGTAAAGATTCTTCAACCACAGCTGCTGCCCCACCCACTTCATCACATCATAGTATTGCCAGATGGTCCACTGAGATGATACTTATGAATGTTTTATGGTAAACTCTAAAGCTAAGCAATTGTAAAGGGTTAAGTGAGAGAATGCCTAACATTATTTGGGAAAAGAAGTTCTAGATAACTTTATAAATTTTTAGAATTTTGTCAAGCACTTGGAGTTCTCATTATTAATAATTCTCTCAACATACAGCTTTCCACTGCAATGTTGTTGTTGTTGTTGTTTTTTCATTGTTTTTTGGCAGCACCTTCCAGCATGAGGGATCTTGGTTCCCCACAAGGGGTCAAACCAGTGCCATCTACACTGGGAGTGCAAAGTCTTAACCACTGGACCACAAGAGAAGGTCCTCTCTACAAGGGTACTGATACTCAAGACATTGATTCTTCCTTACAAATATAGTGTCAGAGTCTCACTTCCTGAAACAAGAGAGCACTTAAGGAAGAGAGGAACCCTCTCCAGACCAAGAAACTCCAGGCTATGGCTGATACAGGGATATCAAAGGAGGAAATTCCTACATTCCCAGAGTGTGATCTTTTTGTAAAGTCAGTGGCAAGACAAAAGCAAGTAATCTGGGAGTTACAACAAAAATATGCCATTCTCCACTCCCCATGGCTGCCCTTCAGCTGTCTACAGATTTCCATGAAGAGAACGGTGGAGAAGATATTAGTGGCTATAACATTCACTAAGCCCAGCCATCAAGCAGTAATTTCTGAAAGCAAACGTTTCAGATTCTCCCTACACTCTTTAGTTTCTCTCCTCTTTTACAACTGTAAGCTTGATAATATGGAAATCATGAGATCAATACTATCAGCTCTAATCCCTCCCCCAACATCAAAGTGGGCTCTCGGCTAGTGGAAAATGTTGGTGCATTGTGTTTAATAGAACAAAAATTATCCTTAGACCTATCCAAATAGTTCTTTATTAGAATTAAATCACATGCCCTAGGGTGGGGAAATGTTACATGGGTTACAATAATCTGGAATAAGACCAAGTTAATTCTGCCTCCCCAAATTCAATATAATTAACTCAGTGTCCTACACTACGAAATCTGTAAACAACTACTGAGGTTTATATCAGTTCATATTATATATGAATGCAGACCCCTCTGGGGTTGAAACAAAGGCTAAACCCAATGTTCAGTGA